AATAGGGAGATTCAAAGAGAGAGGAAGAGAAATCTAAAGAGGAAGGGACAGGGAGATCCCCAAGTAAGGAAAGAGTGCTGTTTCTAGAGTAATTCTAGAGCCAAGGAGAAGGCAAGTTTCAAAGTTTCTCTTTCTAGTCATACCTCCTCATGACTGCCATCTGTTTGCATTGTGTCTTTTGGCTTTGAGTCACTGGAACACATGCAGAAATGTGTAGAATAGAAAGCATGCTCATCAGACTTGGAGCACCCTATTGGGGCACCAGGGGGAGGAGGAATGAGCAGCCCTTTACCAAACATGATCAGATTTCAAAATGACCTTGGTAACTTGAAGAAGTCATCTGAAGAAGAGAGAACAAAGTACCTTAAACATTAGTGCTAGGTATCTTACATGGGTAAGGCGGGGGGAAGGAAATGTTCATATCTCAGAGGGGTCTCTGTGCAAACGAAAACAATCTGGTGTAATAATATCCATAATAATAGCTAACACTAATATAGTACCTTAAGGTTTGCAAAGTGCTTTACAAATATCTCATTTGAGCCTCACAACAATCTGAGAGGTAGAGCTACTATTATTCCCATTTTATAGATGAGGAAACTGAGCCAGACAGAGGTTAAGCCTTTTGCCCAGGGTCACATAGCTAATAAGTTTCAGAGGCTGGATTTAAACTTCCTGATGCCAGGTCCAGGGCTCTATCCTCTTCACCATCTCACGGACTTAATCTTAAACATGGAAGTGATCATGATTTTCTGTATAGGTGGTGGTGCTTTTTAAAATACCTTCTTATAGAGCAATGGAACCACAAAAAAAGAGAGCAGCCCAAACATGCGGCAGGAGTCCCCAGACATTGGGTTAAAGGCAGCACACACCTCAGTAAAGAAAGCAGCTAACCCAGTGAAGAGGCCAGCGATGGCCAATGATGGCACAAGAGTGGCTTCAACACCCCCAATAGTGATGCACAAGGCAGGGGTTTCATGAGTGGGTACCAAGGGTATAATAGAGATGGTGTGTCCAAATCTCTGACTAGAGGCAGGGCGTAGTCCTCACTGGAAGGTGGGTGTTATTGGACTCCTGCTAATCAGTTGAGGATACTAACCCATTCTTTGTTTTTGCACGTATTTTAATAAAGCCTGTTGTATGTCTCTGGTTCCTCCAAATAAGTGATACCTTGTATTTGTGTGTGACACCAGATTGTGTGACCTTGGGCAAATCAAGTAACATCTTAGTGCTCTTGGCAACTCTCTAATACCTTATGTTGCAGAAGAGTTGCCAACCTGCATTGGTAGAGGGAATTTCTTCATCTGGGAGTTCCCTATACTAATGAAATCTCAGGTCCAGTCCCTAGTCCCATTGGGGCACTTAGAAAGCCTTCTTTGATCCTGGTAGATATTCTGTTAGAGAAGCAGGGTGGGTATTAGCTTATCATGTGAGAAACCTGAAGCATGGAATGGCCCTTGTTCAGGTCATCTGCCACTTAGGCTAGAATCCACATCTCTTGACTCCTGCCCAGCATTTGTACCATTCTATCACATTAATAAAGATAATTATACTGATATTGATACTTAATCGGTTATGGGTTTAGGGTGACTGGGACTGTGCCAGAATTTAGAAAGGGCAAACATTCAACACAATTCTTTCTATTATAGGAAGCCAACTATAGTAATTAATATCCCCTCCTGCTCAATTGAATGAGTCTTAATTCTCATGTTATTTTTAATTACAGAGTTAAGATTTATTTTTAACTATTTAAAATTTTTTCAATGAATAGAGATCCATTTTCTCTTTCTCCCGTCCTCCCTTCCTCATTGAAAAAAACAAGCATAAATTACAAAGTTGACTTGCTTTATGTTACTTGACCTAGGCATCAGAATCGCTGATTTCATTTCTGCTATCCATAGGCTCAGAGCTAGTAAATGATAGTCATAGAAAATCAATGCTTTGTTCACTTTGTCATTTATATTTAATTTTAGGGTTGTACAATTTATGTGCCATGTCTTTTATCATTGTTATTTCGATGTATGTAGTATCATTAACTGTTCTATAAATTGGAGTAGTGACCAGTGTCTGCTCTAAAACTTATATTTCTCCTGATCTAATATAGTGTTCTGCATATAATGGGTGCTTCATGAATGCTTGTTAAATTGAATGATAAATTGCTTTTACTGAATATAGTAGTGGCAAGAGATGAAGGAGCATTTGTAGTCTTGTGCAGTCACCTCTAAAATTGTGGCAATGAGATGTGTTGTTACCATGTTGTCTGATGTATGTAAGAATGTTCCCAGGGACAGATCCCCTTATCGGAGGTTCCAGGTATCACTAAACATTTCTTTTTTCTGTTTTGTGAGGTCATAACTCCATGTTGCCCTTTCGTGGAATCTTATTTCCGTGGGCCCAACCTTCCTTGCTCTTTTTCCTTTTGCTGTGGAGGCAGGACCAGTTCAGCCTCCAAGGGAGGTGCCCAACCTTTGAGCCAACTTGCATGGTCTACCTGTATGCCTTCATGAAGGCATCAGTCTTATTATTTAAGCACATGATCACTCCAGACCAAGAGCCCTCACTGTCTACACTTCTTATCCACATCGAGAGAGAGAGAGACAGACAGACAGACAAAGAGAGATTTCCATTAGTTGTTAGGCAGCCATTATTGACCACCATCATTGACCATCCCTGGAAAGGGTTTCTGAGGCAGAGTAGGAAGCTTTCCATCCTGAGATATTTTTAGAAAACCATTGATAGCTACCAGGTCAAAAACAGTTTAAACCAGATGAGCTTGGGCTCTCTCCTATGATTTTGTGTTTCTGATATAAAAGGTAATCCCCTGTTTTGCCTGGAAGTCTCTCACTGCATGTGTCTGGTTGCCATATATGGGGACAGGGTGGGATGGAGATGCCTGTTTTGTAGCAAAGTCTACACACATTTGAATAAATATAGGCAGAGCACCTTTGGGTATCTAGATGTGCTTGTGGAAATGTTTGAATAAAAGCATCCAAGAGCCAAGCATGATGAGTATTAAAAATTTAACCTATCACTCTGCAATTATGTAGTCACTTTAACGCTTCCTAGTATATTGACGTCAGGAAAACTCTGGAATCAGTCATTTACCAGACACTGCATGCTTCCTGTTTTTGTTTACCTTCTCTTGAGGGCCTGTGAATTGTTTTGTTGTCAGCGGTGATGGTTTTGTTATCGTTTGGGTTTTGTTCTACATTGTTTCTGTGGAGTGGAGAGGAATGAGTATTTCCCATCAGAAGACTTGGGTTTGAATCTATATTCTACTATTAACTAGCCATATGACATTCAACAAATCATTTAAACATTCTAGGCCTAATTTTCCTCATCTATAAAGCAAGAATATGTGTGTGTGTGTGTGTGTGTGTGTGTGCATGTGTGTGTGTGGAGAGAAATGGACTAAATGACCTGTAAATTCCCCCCTATCACTAAAGTTGTGATCCTACGTTCCTATAAATAAAGTCCAGAGTCACTCTCTGAAGGGGGAAAAGAGAATTACTTCTTTAAAAAACAATCCCATAGGATGCAAAATTTTTATGTTTAGAGTAAAAGTTTGCTGGGGTTTAAATGTGTCAGAAGCTTGTTTGGCTCCTTGCTTGTAACTGTAGTAACTGTCTCACAGTTGTCAAGAAGCCCATTTAGGTGTATGTTCAGGGGTGGGGAATGTATGCAAAGTGCTTTGTAAACTTTAAAGCCCTCTACTAATAGCAGTCCTTAATATCATTACTCATCTAATTGGCTTTTAGCAGATTATTCTGGACCCATTTTTTGCAGGCCACTCCATACCAATACCCCCTCATTGAGTCACTCTATGAAAATGTAAAAAGAGAGACATTTTTCTTATTGGCCATTGAGTAAGACTTCCTAGAGATTCAGATGGAATCCTTTTAGAAGAAAAAAAAAGACTGTTCTGGACCCTCTTAAAAGTTTGTACCTAGAATATAGTACTACCACCTTTTTAGGCAGAATGGGTTAATACATAAAGTACTGGCTTTGCAGTCAGAAGATGTGGTTTTGAACCTTGGTTCTTAACTACTTTTGTAACCTAGGGCAAATTATTTCACCTGTCTGGGCCTCAGTACGGGATATGGATTGGGGGGAGATTGGCCTAGATCTTCTCCAAGATCCTTTCTAGCTCTAAAAGTTATGGACTATAAGATCAGTGTAATATTTATGACCGCTACTTCCATTAATGATGTCATTGTGCTCTCCTGGTGGCTTAATTGCAAAAATGTTTCACAGAGTGAAAATGAACACAAAGTATGTCTAAAGCCATGAAATAACTAGATATGTTGTTGCAATGTTCTCACACCACACCCGTGTGCGCACACACGCACACACACACACACAAACACACATGCACGTGCATGTGTGTTTGTGTGTGTGTGTGTGTGTGTGTGTGTGTGTGTGTGTGTGTGTGTGCGTGTTTCTGGGAACAGCTCCCTTCATTGGATGTTCTACATATTACTAAATGTTTCTTTAAAAGTTGCTACTCCTTAATTCTTTTAAAAAAGATACAAAACAGCACCCTCTCCCTCAAAGGAGAGATACAAGTGGTAAGGCAGAGCTCCCTTGCCTTAATTCTCAGCTCCTCCCCATGCATCAGTCCCAGCCTTGCTCTGAGCCAAGTAGCTATGTGGACATTAGCAAGACAGAGTAACAGGTTCCACCCAATTGTTCCATCTCTCCATTCTGTCAGCATTGTAGGGCAGTGTTGTTCACTCATGGTATCCACAGCTGTTCTCAGTTTTCCATTTCATTGCCTAGTGCTTGCTCTCTAACTCTTCCCATCATTGCTTTGTGTTTCTGCAACAATAGCTGGTGGTGTGTGCAGTGTCCAGTCCATGACCATGGGCCTTGGGAGGTCTCATGGTCTTGTGAATGGGATGGGGTTTGGTCTGTGTGTTTCTGCATCACGCTCTTTATTTTGAATTCTGACCAATATGACATCTGCTAAAATGTCTCCCTTATAATTTGCTTGGTGATCACAGCCTTCACATCATTCATTGAGCACAGGACCAGATCTCACAGAGTCTGAAAAGAGCTACGTGGTAAGACTGCCTGTTGAATAAGATTGTAGCTTGTTTAAAGAGAATACTTATTCCATCAAGTGATGGCTTGTCAGCCTGTAAAGCTACTGGCTACAGGAATGATAGTACTGTGGTTTAAAAAAAAAATGCAGGTTTTAGGGCTGCAAATAAAAGAGAGGAACTTAGTAGCAATAACATGGCCACTATATGTAAGAGTGGGATTGGATTAAATTCCTTAGTGCATGACTGGGTACCTCTCCTCACCTCCCCCTCCTGAAGTTATCCTGTTTTATAACAGCTACTCCCTGCTTACAGATTCTGCTGCTGCCTCTGCCACTAGTTTGAATGTTTATACTAAATCCACCCCTTTTCTGTATCTCACCTGTTTTTCCATGCTTACACCTGGATCCCTCCTGCTCTTCACTTCTGGATATGTTGTTGCCTGGATCTTCAACTCTGTTGTTTTCCTGGACTTCATCTGGAATGTCACATCTCTTCCTATCTCTTTCTCTCTTTTTTCCCCTTGTTGACCATTTTATGGGGGTTGCTGGATTTCCTGGGGCCACCTCACAGGAAGCAGTTTGCAATGAGATCATAAACATTGCCGAAAAGTCTGTTCATTACTGCAGTACTGTTTCTCATCCTCTTGACTTTCGTCACAAGGTGTCCCCTACTGACAATAAATCATCTCTCATCATTTCTCAGCAACCTCAAGCCCAGCAGCGAAGAACCACCTCTGACAGAAGTCAGAACCTACAGGATTTGTAAGTCACTTCAGCCTGCTATATCACTACTTTATCTGGATTATAGTACAAGAACTGACTTGCTTATATGCCTGTAAGACCCTAGTACTGACAGAGAGAAAGAGAGAGAGAGAGAGAGAGAGAGAGAGAGAGAGAGAGAGAGAGAGAGAAGAGAGAGAGAGAGAGAGAGAAAGAGGAGGAGGAAAAAAGAGAGACAGAGAAACAGAGAGATTAGCTAGACTGTGTGGTGCGGCAGCAGCTACAGGGGCATTTCTGAGAATTTTGAGTAAAGTGATTCCATTTCCAAAAGATGAGAAGCCATCAATACATCCTGTCTTCACAGACCCTACAAAGAGGAGGAGAGAGGATATGTCCCTAAAGTGAAGCACTTACTTCATACCTTTCTTTTGGCCCCAAGACAAGTCCTCTAGGACAGTATTGTTGGGGGAAAGTTATCAGGAAGGTCACAGATCAGGAGATACCTTTAATTTAGAATTTTCCCTGGTATCTCAGCTAGACACTGCTTTTCTTCTATAATTAGAATTGCAAGATATGGACAGATTGTTTAGCATAGTAACTTACATTATGAATTACCACACATTTTGGACATAGTGATTTGTATTGTAAAACATGAGTTAGAATGGCATAGTAGATGGAAAGTTGGCTATAAGGTCAGCAAGACTTGGGTTCAAATCCCGCTTCTGACTTCTAGTGACTGTTGTGACCCTAGGTGAATTATTTAACCTCTTAGAGAGCCAAACAACTTTCTAAGACTTTAAGTTGTGGAATGGGTGCTGATCTGTATTGGTAGAAAGAATTTCTTCACTGGGTGTTCCTTGTACTAATAAATTACGTATCACTCCTCTCTTTCCTTTCTTGCTTTTTTCTTTCCTCTCCCCCTACATAGAAAAAAAAAAGTGCACAAAACAATGCATTAACTCACAGTTTATCTGCAACTACCAGGAGGTCATTGATCCGAGAATATAAATGGCCCAAAACATTTTTGAACTTATCTTTCTATCTGAGTGAGATCATGTTTTAAAAAATGAGACAAAATTTTAGTAGCCTTGGCTTAGATATATTAATTCATGCTTGAAGATAAGCACGGAACAATTTTTTCTATGTTGACTGTCAGGTACCTGAGTTCTCTCAGAGCAAGGCCTTCCTGGGGATATTTCCTGAAACAGCTCTCCATGACCTCATAGTCTCAGTATCATTTGTCAAAAGAGGCCTTGCCACCCGCTGCCAGTGGTAAAACAACTGTAAGTGCTAAGATACCGAGGAAGCACGTAGATTAAGCAGTTTACTTCCCTGTTGATAATAGTGAAACAATAAAAAACTAGCAAACCAATCTTTGGTTAACTAGGATGATTTTTAAAAGGACCATCTTTGAGTCATCCCAGTAGGGTTCAAGTTACAATCTCTTTTTCTTTTAGCTATAGCTACCAAGCATTATATAGCTATAAACCACAGAATGATGATGAGTTGGAACTCCGAGATGGAGATATTGTGGATGTCTTGGAAAAATGTGATGATGGTTGGTTTGTTGGTAAGTAAATTTATCATCTTTGATTTTTTTTTTTTGAGGCACTTGGAGTTAAGTGACTTGATCGGGATCACACAGCTAGTAAGTGTTATGTGTCTGAGGCTGGATTTGAACTCAGATCCTCCTGATTCCAGGGCCAGTGCTCTATCCACTGCACCATCTAGCTGACCCCCCTTTGATCTCTTTTTCATAGAATCTTAAAGTAGGTTAGAACCCTAGGGGCCATCTTATTCAACCTCCTACCCCATGGACAATCTCTGATAATGAGTCATCTTGAACCTACTTGAACAAATCCTGTGATGGAAGATTCACCACTTCCTGAGGCAGCCCATGGGGCCTCTCTGATTATTAGAAAGTTCTTTCTCATGTTGAAATTGGTCCTAAATAGACTTCCTGTAATTTATGCTCATTGGTCTAAGTTTGGCCTCCTATGGCCACACAGAATAAATCTAATCCCTTTCCCGTGTGGTTACTCTTCAAATATTTGAAGACCAGCTGCCATGCCCAGGGAAGTCATCTTTTCCATGGGTTAAACAATGGCTTCAACCACTTGTTATACGAGACAGGCTCATATCCTTTCATCATTCTTGCCACCTTCCTCTGGTTGAGCTCTGGCTTGGCCGTGTCCTTTTTTATTTCTTTTTCCTTTTTTTTGAGGCAATCAGGGTTAAGTGACTTGCCCAGGGTCACACAGCTAGTAAATGTCTGAGGCCAGATTTGAACTCCTGACTTCAGGGCCAGTGCTCTGTCCACTGCACCACTAGCTGCCCCATGGCTCTGTCCTTCTTAAAATGTGTCGTGCAGAACTGAACACAATGGTCCATTTGTTGTCTAAACAGTGAAAAGGGCAGTGGGCCTGTCACTTCTCCAGTTCCAAAGCCAAGATGTTTGGCCTTAAGTGTCTATTTTCATTTCTTTTCAACAAACTTTCACATTTCACTAAAACACCAAGTTAGTTAGTGTTCGGATATCAGCACAAGAAGTGTTGGCCTGCTGCAAGATCCAGGCACACTTCTAAAAGTTCAAATACATTATTCCTGGTCGCTAATAGATTTAATTAAAGTAAACATCTTAGTTAAAATAAACTAATGATTAGTTCTTACAAAAGAAATCCAAACTAGAACCTAAAGCTAATTAACAGTGTTGCCTGGCACTATTTTTTTGTGCAGTGTGAGTGTGTGTGTGTGTGTGTGTGTGTGTTTGTGTATGTGTATGTGCATACTTTGCCTTATAGATGTATGAATGCAAGGTCCCAAACTGCTTACTGCATTTTTAAGCTTTAACACTTTCAATAAGCTCTTATGTATTACTAACTATGTGACCCTGGGCAAGTCATTCAACTTCAAGGGCCTCACCAAGAAGAAAAAAAAAGCCGTTATTTAATAGCTTAAATAAACTGGTAAAGTTTAAAACTGCACTAAGTTTTTTGGGACTCCCTATATGTTGTGAGAGAATCAAAAATATCTAATTGGAAGTCAAGCATTAGGTCACTGAATAGTTGAGGCCTTGCCTGTGCTTGAATTTTCTCACCCCTAAAAAAAAATAGGATCAAAAAATATTTTAATATTTAATTATTTAATATTTTTTAATATTTTCTCCCTAAAGATTAAATAAAGAAAAGCAATTGAATATTTTTTAATGCCTTGAAGATAAACAATACTAGAAAATGTCATTTCTTGTGTTTTAACCCAGATTCCTGGAGGTTTCCACCTTCGCTGGAAACTCTAGATTCAAGAAGAATTTGAAACTGTATTGGGACAAAAGTTCTTGAATCTCTGAGATGTTTTCAAGTAGAGGGTCTTCTCAGATCACACACATTGGGGACCAGTTTACTCGACTACTCTGATTAAGACCACCTCTGAAGCTAAGATTAGCCAGACAAGCTCTTTACTCAGAGACATAGGAAATATCCATCCCCAATCTTAGGGGGAAGGGCAGTGATTCAGATCCAAAATGGAGGCAGCTTTGCGGCTAGACCTTTTATGGCCTATGGAGACAATCTAGGCTGACCAATAGAAGACTGAGGAAGGAATTCTGGGCTTAGGACTGGACCTTGCACAGCTCAGAGTGATTTCTCCCCCTCCAGTGAGGAAGGGTACTGAGCTAACGGGCTTTAAAATGGTATTTTTATCATGGTGATACTCTTGGTTATTTAAAATAGGAAAAAAAATACCCTCTGGTATGTAGTGGGAAGCCTGTGGAAATAAGAGTCAGACCTGAGTTCAAGTTTTGGTCCCACCACCTATTAGGAAGCAAGTCACTTAACTTAGTTTCCTCACCCATAACGTGGGAATGATTATGTATATACTGCCCACATTGTAGGATAAGTGTAAAGCTCAAATGAGATCATGGATGTGAAAGGGCCTTACAAACTGTAGAAATGTACATGATAATTTTGTTGTTTTTTGAGGGAATAGCAAGGAATATATTTGAAAGGAATAGCAGGTTGTACATAATAGATTTGCAGTTTTATGTACAATCATCTTTTTTGTTGTACTGTGTTGATGGAAATGCTTATTTTATTCCATACACTAAAAATATAATTCAAACAAAAAACAAACTGTCAAGCTCTATACAAATATCAGGCAGCACTGGCATTTGGGTATGATATGGACAGAGCACTGACCTTGAAGTCAAGAAGACTTGGTGTCCAAACCCCACCTGTGCCACTTAACTAGCTGTGATGTTACTGTAGTCTTGTCTCAGTGGTCCTGGAGCTAATTAAACTGAGCCAGGAACTCTTCCCAGAATTTGCAAAACCAAAAAGCCTGCCCCACCCAAAGTAAGAAAGTCCTACCTCCCCAACTCACACGTTCTTGTTTCCTGTTTATTTGTCTGTAGGTACTTCCAGAAGAACAAGACAGTTTGGTACTTTTCCTGGCAACTATGTAAAACCTTTATATTTATAAGAAGCCTGAGAACCCGTGATTGTTTTTTATTGGTGGATGAAACACGGAACACAAAGCAATCTCTTTATCTCAGTGTTGAATCAATAAGTCGGTTAGTGCAAGGATGAAGTAAGAAGTCTTAGAGAGACTTGGGGAAGTGTTGGATTTAAAGCATGAGCCTCCTAGGGCCTTGCACAGTGCTTGGCTCATAGCAGACTTCAGCAAATGTTTTCTTCAATGAATGAATGAATGTATGTATGTGCGAATGAACTAGGGCCCAGGTATTTGCTGGGCAGTGAGAAGCAAGCCAGACTTCTAGTTTACATAACTGCCTTTTTAAGCCCCGCTAGGCCTCCCTCTCACCTTCCTGTGGTGAGCCGACATGGAACTGAAGGAAAGACTCAAGTAGCCCCTCATCCTCTGTGTTTGGAGGCCAGTTCAGTTCTAGCTCAGTCCTAGGAGTGTTGGTCTAAGTTGTGTGAAACTGAGGGATTCATTTGATTCTGAAGCAACCCAGAGAAGACCCAAGGAAGCCAGATCTGGTCCAGTCTTACCTTAAAGTTTGGGGGTCTGATCTTTATTGAGTGCCTCTCTAATCTGCCCCAGAGCAGGTTTAGAAGACGGGCTATCCATTTGAATGCCCCAAAACTCATCAGACCAGACTTTCCAGGGCTATTCTGGACCAGACCTGTCCCAACTTGGACCCACACTCTTGAGACTCTAGTGGGAAGGATAGGGGTAGTAGAAATAAGGTACCATTCTGTGAGGGACTACACTCTTTCACCCCCATCACCTCCACACATCCCAATGTTCTGACAATAAAGCATGTAGCGTTTGCGTGTGAGAGTTGGAGGAAGTAGATCAGAGGGACACAGATTTTCATCTGATTAAAGTAAAGTTGATCTGTAGCTTATTGGGGTAACATGCAACCAGTCACTATCCATGTATACATATATATGTATATAACCTTGGAATTTTTACTAGGTTACCTTACCTTCAGAGATGCCAGGTTTTAATTTGTTTGATGACTATCACCAATATTTCCTAGCATATCATATGTAGAGCACTGGAATGTTCAAGGATATTTCTTACAGAAAACGAAGAATTGCATTCAGAGGAAACCTTCAGAGTTATTTTGATCTAGCCAAATCAATCACAAATCGCATTGCTTTGACCTGTCCTTGGAGCAGAGCAGGTAGTTGTCCTGAGCTTGTACTCTGCTGGCTGCATTTTATGCCACCATCTATTGGAGGACCAGAGTTCCTTGTCCCTCTGCCTGCATGGGAAGAGTTAATCCCTCAGAGCCAGAATCAGGGAGGGAGCCATCCAAACACTACATTTGCACCAGGCAGCCCATGACTGTGGATGCATAAATGAGGGCTAACAGAACCATATGCATGAAAGGAGTTCACTGCTGGGAAGGTAGAGTAATATCTCCTTGAGTTCACCCATTGTCCCCTCAGATATGGGTGATCCCTGGCATTGCTACAGTTCCAGTGGAGAATGTAAATACAGTAAGCTTCAGCTCTCTGGACGTATATAGTCACTCCATCATTACACTAGCCCTGTGTGTACTCTGTTGCTCCACAGTTTATTTCACCCCCTACTCCCCATATAGGACACATCCTAGGCAAAATTTGGAGGGGGTAAATAGGTCCCATTTTGTACCCCATTCCATACCTCAGTGGTGTCTTCTCACCCCCAGGGCCCTAATACTCCTCCTCTATCTTCCACCTTATAAAAACCTGTTCTCAGGAAAGAACTGACAAATTCATTCACAAAGACCTGTAAATGACTAGTAAGATTCAATCTGTTACCCCTTCCAAGGAAATTTGCACTTTAACAAGGCAAGAAGCCTTAATCAAAGGAATGAAGCTCCAGTGGGAAAACTTCAGAATTGGTAGGCGAGAAACTACCAGGCAAGGGGAGTCCGTTTGATGCCTCAGAAGTCATGCCACATGGGCAGCCACTGCCACCACATAGTAGGAATACTTTTTATTTTTGGCATCTCGCTCTGCAGGGAATGTAGTAAAAGCACATGTGTGTACATGTGCACAGGCACCCGCATGTCCATTCATTTCAGCACTATGGCATTAGGATTCACTTTGAAGTGGAAGTCTTACATTGGATAATTATTTTCCTGATCTGTTTTGGATGCAGACTGTTATTGATGCTAACTTCCAACACCTCTAGGAATACAGCTAGAGAATCAAACCAATTTGTAAAGCTACATTTCACACATAATGCCAGTGACATATATTTGTATGTCTCTGGAACCTCTAGTTTGTCTCCCATATTTTCCCATATGTTTAATAATAAGGAAAAAAACTCTAAAATTGCATCAAATTTCAGCTTCCTACATATCACAGAACAAGTAGCGTCAAAATTTCTAGTGGCTACTTTGTCTTGAGACATTTAGGAATACAAAATACTTATTTTTATGCTTATAATATTTATACAGGTTTATTAATAGCAAGTACGCCTAACTGATAGCATGATTTGCAATGCATTTTGATATCTTCCCCACGCCGTGGGGTCTAAAAATGACATCAACTGAAAAATCACTTATCTTTCGCAGTCTCTCTGGGATCACTAAAAAAAAGAAATCATATCCTCAAGAAGGGGGACTGTACATATGTATATTTGTATAGACCATGTACTTACCTTGTATAGAAAAAATAATTTTAACAATTTGAGTGAAAGGAAGACAGTAAGGAAGTCATTAAGGTCTTTTTTTTTTTTTGCATTTTTATTTAAGTGAAGGAATTCCAAGCTAACCCCTATGGATTTTTTTTTTTTTAGCACAAGAAGACACTTGTAAAATGTTACAGCTTTTAAATCATCATCATTGGGGGGAAGGGCAGTAACTCTTATCCTCATTTATGAATTTTGAAAATTTTTTCCTTTGCAGTCTTGTTTCCCTGCAGTAATATTTAGTCCTGTTGCTAGAATAGGTTAATATGCAAATTATATTCTGAAAGAAAAAATAAATGACTTTCTATGTAACCAGTTAATTTAAAGGATTGCCATTGAAACAACACGCAGAGAGCATGTACTATACAGACACAGATCTTGTGTTCATTTATTTTTCTTTATTGCAGTGGATTATGGTTTATTTGATAATAAATAGACGTGTTGAATTACTGCTACATTTCCTGTACAGATTATTTAATAAACCTTATTCCGATTTGTGTGGTACACTTTCATTCTTATCTATTAAGGTTTCTTTCTTCCCTTTCATTGCTGATTCCCAATATACATGCTGGCTTCTCCAGCTTCCTAAGTGCTATTCTAGTCTTCATTCCTTGTGATTGGGCTTCTGCTCATGTCACGCCTCTTACACTGAGAGTGACTTAGCACAGTTCCTAGTACATAGTAAGTGCTTGCTGAATGCTCATGTTTGTTGACTTATTGTGTCTCCATGGTTACCAGCGATGAGTTCTTTATGTAATTTAAGGCCTCATCCATCTCCACTTCTTTTCGCTGTGTAACATCTTGGCCACCTACTCCTAAATAAATACACTGGCCAATCACAAGATGTAAATCATGACTATCAGAGCTATATTATAAAAAAGGATTTCACTCTCCTTCCTTGGTTTCTATAATGATGCATTTAATTTTTTTTCCACCATCTTTTCTGTTTCTGGGTTTGTTCCTACTCTCTCTTCTCAGTCTCTTACCTATGGATGACTCCCAGGATTCTGTTTCTGTCTCTGTCTCTGATCTTTTCTCTCTCTGGTCTCTCCTTCTGTGGGATATGGTTACAATATGCTTCTGTGATCAAAAAGATCAAGTAAATTCGGGGCACTATTAGGAACAATGTAAATAGTAATTATCTTCACCTTCCAATAACCACCATACTTTATGAAGCCGTGGTTGGCACATCAAGAAAACAATGTAATCAAAGGCGATCTCAGTTTCCTTATTGGTAAAACAACAGTATTGATGATATCCAAGAATCATTCAGGACCAGAGAAAAATGACTAAAATAGCTGAGGGGATAAGGGACCCTGTTTTAAGTGGATGAACTAACAGGATGACAATGGCCAGGAGGAAGAAGACAATATCAAAGTCTATGGAGACTATAGAAGAAGGGATGAGTATGGATTTGACCACCAAATCCTAGAATACCACTCGATCAATAAAGGCTAAGTGCCTGCTATGTGCTAGGCATTGTACAAAGTGTTGGGGATACAAAAAGAGGCAAAAGGTAGTCCTTGCCCTCAAAAAGCTCTCAATCTATACCAGTAGTGGCTCTTACTACATAAGACTTTAATGAGGCAGTTTAAGAACAAATTGCTCATTCAGCTGCAAGGTGATCAAGGTTGAAAAAAAATATTTGAGAAGGATTTAGCTAAATTCATGGATGATAGATCCCTAAGGAGTCATTTAAGGGAAGCTAAGAAGAGAGGTAACTGGCCTACTGGATAGAAGGCTGGCCTTAGCATACCTACAGCTGAATTGCCAAAGACCAGTGAGACTAGGAGTTGGGTGAAGCTGGGTGAAATCATAGGTCTACAGAAAACAAAAATAAAAGAATGCTCAAGGTTTTGTCATTTCAAAAGCAAAAAAAAAATAGTAGAATGGGGGAGAATTCTAGAATGGGTGGGGAGAAGATAATGGCATAAGCAAAGGCCGCAGTGAGGAAATAGCTGAATGGGTACAATTTAATTCAACAACAAACATGTATTAAGTACTGATTATGTACAAAATACTGCGGTAGGTACTGGGGATACAGAGAAGAGAAAGGATACAGTCAGGAAGGAGATGACATCTACACATGTCATAATCCAAGATTGGATGCTCTAGAGGACAGGAAGACACCCAGAGAAGGGAAATCAAACTGTGGTGGGTGGGTGCCTATAGAAGGGGAGAATATGAGATTAGGCTGGAAAGGTGTGGTGGCCTACACTGTGGAGGCTCTTAAATACCAGGCTAAGAAATTTGAACTTTGTCCAGTAATCTATGGAGAGCCATTGAAGGGTCTGAGCAGAGTAGTTACCCTATCACATGTGAAAAAGAAAGATAATTTTGGCAGTGGTCTCATGGATAGTTGATTGAAAGTTGGCAGGACTGGAAGCAAGTAGACCAGCGTCTGCAATCCAGATGGTTAGAAGTGATGGTAGCAATCAGAAAAAGAAGACATCAATTCAAAAGATTTGGGAAGTATAATTGATGGGAATTGGTAACAATATGAGAGGTGAGGGATAGGAGTAAGAAAAAAAGAGGCATCAAGCGTAGATGACTGTATGTATGTTGGGGTCATTGACAAATAAGGTCAGAAAAAGGAGCAGGTTCGGCGTGTTACTAAAGAATAAATTCTTTATTGGATATGCTGAGTTGAAGGTTCTGCTGGCACGTCCAGGAGAGGGTGGGTAGTAGTCAGTCCAAAGTGTAGTAGTAGAGCTCAGGATTAGAGATTTTGACTTGGGAGGCATCAAGGTAGTAACCGAATCTGTGGAAATGAATGAGCTTACTAAGAAGAGAGTATTGGGGAAAAAAAAAAGACAAGTCAAAGATGGATTTTGGGAAATAGCCACTCAAAGGGGACAGGAGGTGGAGTTAAAGAAGGTATGATCAGAGACATAGGATGAGAACCAGGAGAATGAAGTTCCTATCTGATCCTGAGTCAGAAATGTTCATTCCTTTCTCTGACTAGCCCACTGCTAACTCCCCACACCTCCCCTACCTGGAATGCATGCAATTTAGAATCCTTTTCTTCTTTGAAGGCTCAGCTCATGTGCCACTGCCTAGGCTAAGCTTTGCCTACTCCCCACGGTGGTTAGTACTTTCTCCTTCCTTAAGCAATTGTGTCTATACTTAGCTGTTTACATGAATTCCATCATCCAGTGGAATCTAAGCTCCCATAGAGAAGGCGCTATTTTTGTTTTCTTTTTATCTCTATTGCCTAGCACATTGCTTTACACATGGTAAGAGGCAAAGGAAGGGAACAAGGATTTAGTCATCACTTATGCTATATGTCAGGCATTCACAAATGCATTCACAAGTGCTTCACAAATATCTCATTTGATCCTCACAGGAACCTCACAGGTAAGTGCTATTGTTATCCCATTTTACAGTTGAGGAAACTGAGGCACACCAGAGGTTAGGTGACTTGTTCAGGGTCACACAGCCAGTGAGTGTCTGAGGCTGAAGCTGAACTCAGGTCTTCCTGACACTGAGTCCAGCACTCTATCCACTGAACTGCCTCTAGCAGATGCTTAAAAAATGCCAGTTGATTATACTTTAAACCTCAATTTTGTACTCTAATTACAGTACGTTCTATTCTACACAATAACGATTTGATTCTATTGCATAGTTAGTATATGTCCTAATTCTCCCCTCTTGCCACTCCCTCTCATTACAAGCTCTAGGAGGTCCAGGGCCACGTCTTAATTCTCTTTAAATCTCTTCCAAGACCCAGGACAGTGTTTTGCACTTATTACATCTTGTTCAGTAATTGTTGAATGAATGATGAATTAGTGAATCATGTTCTTTCTTCCATGGAATGTTTCTCTGGGCCATTGTCAGAGACAGAACATTGGTCTTGAGGGACATTGACGGGGCCAGTGTGGAATTTATTGTTAAATTTAGTCTTATAAGTTTAGGGGTATGTCACCAGAATAGAGAGGAAGGAGACAATAGGAAAGGCCAGGAGTGGGGACCCTGAGGCCTGAGGGCCACGTGAGGAACTGCAGGCTCCCAGTTCTGTAAAATTCGGATTCAGTCAAAAGGCTGCACTTAAGGACCTAGAAGGCCACATATGGCCTTAAGGCTTCAGGTCTCCCCCCCACCCCCATCCTGATTCCCCTGGAAAGGCCCTTGATCTTCTAGAGATCAACATGGGAAGTGAAAGAATCATAGATTTAGAGGGAGAAAGAACTTTAGAGGTCGCTGAGTCCAACATCCTCCCTTTACAAATGTAGAAACTGAAGCCTAGGGAAGTAAAATGATTAACATTATAAACTGCAGGACCTACTGGAATTTATAATGGCAGGGAGGGACAGGAGGGGAGAATTAGGACATATATACAAGGACACATGGATAGAATAAATGGCATAACTGTAATTTGAACTCAGATCCATTGAAGCTCAATCCAGGACCCTGCACACTGTATCACAGCCCTGGAAAGCCTGGGACTAGATCCATCTTTATTCCCAAAATAACACGATTTAATCCAACAATTATTGAGTCTACTATGTGTGAGGCACTGTGTTTCTAGGTCCTCATCTTCTAAAATCCCATCTTCTGTTCTGCTCTTCCAATGGCCTACCCCTGTAAAGAATACTGGGAATAGCATGAGATTTATTGAGGTTCATATCCATCAGATCAAGTGAGAGATGATTTAGAAGCTGATTCAAAGGTTTGGAAGCAGCAAACCTGGGCCCTAATTATAGAAAGGTCAATTAGGCCTTTACCTGGCCTCCAGTGTGGTGAACTTTTGCACATATGGAAGAGAAGAGTGTAAGATTAGGCTGCAAAGGTCGGGTAGTGCCAGACTGGGGACGCCAGAGGCTTAGAACCTAAACTGCACCAATTCTTGGTGGTGGTGGTGGTGGTGGTTGTTCTTCTTTTTGCAAAGCAATGGGGTGATGTGACTTGCCCAGGGTCATACAGCTAGTAAGTGTCAAGTGTCTGAGGTCAAATTTGAACTCAGGTCTTCCTGAATCCAGGGCTGGTGCTTTATCCACCATGCCACCTAGCTGCCCCTCACTTAGTTCTTTAGGTCACTGCCATCATACATGAGCCTGGAAATCCTTGTTCTGTGGGAGGGAAGTGGCTAGGCAAAGGTAAGTAAGTGGGCGGGAAGATGGATGCCGAGAGAATGTGAGAAAAGTGGGTGAGGTATATGGAAGCCGCCTTGTCGCTTGGAGTCCTGACCCCATGATCTGGCAGCTCCAGGGAAGTCTGGCTCTGCTTTATGGGTGGGACTGTCCTCCCTCCACTAGAGTTATAAATAGGCCAGCCATGGTATCAACACTTGGCAGACACTTGGGGAAGGCAAACCACAAGTGAGGAAATAGATTTGGTGGGAGGAAGGGAGCTTAAGAAAGTAGACAATGGAAGGAATGAAATAATGGAGGACTATGGGAAAGTAACCCTTTATCCTTCTCAAGCACCTGAGTATTACATATATATATATACCCTCAGGGAGTCTGGGACAGCTAGGTGGAACAGAGGATAGAGCACCCAGTCTAGAATCA